GTTAAACCGAGATCCCATGTGTCTGTTCAGGTGAATGTTAAAGATCCCATGGCACTCTACCAAAATAGAAGGGAATTTCTTTCTCCCAGTTTCCTGGCCAACAATCCCCTGAATAAAATTGGTCACTCGCTCCCTGGCTGTTTATAGGGCATCGCTGTGCGCAACTGACTGCCGTGTTTTACCCACAAAATATACAGTCAATCCACTATACAGTATACAGCAACAACAAATAGCAAAATTACATTTGTATAGCGCCTTTCATGTCGGGAGGACGTCCCAAGGCGCTAGACAGACCAAGTTAGGGACCCGAGCCGAGGGTCGGGGTGGGGAAGTGGCGAGGGCGGGGGGGGGGGGGAAGCAGGAAGCAGCTCTCATCCAGGACTTGGTGTCTGACAGACATTCTGTCAGCACAGCAGTGGTCCTGGAGTCAAGGGTGGAGGCAGAGAAGTAGAGTTAGATGTCATCCGCAAACATGTGGAAGTTAACCCCATGTCTGCAGATGATGTCACCAAGAGGGAGCATATAGATGTTGAAGAGGAGGGTACCAAGGACAGAGCCCTGAGGAACGCTGCACGAAACGGTGGGAGGGCTAGAGGAGAAGCCATTTGAGGAGATGAAGTGCAGGCGGTGTGAGAGGTACGATCTGGACCAATCAAGGATAGCGCCGTGGAGGTTGAGGTGAGAGGAGAGGCAGTGGATGAAGATAGAGCGGTTGATGGTTTCGAAAGCAGCAGAGAGGTCAAGGAGGCAGATGGACAGAATGTCATTTGTCACTTTGACCAGGGCGGTTTCTGTGCTGTGGGTGGCACGGAAACCTCATTGGAGGGGTTCGAGAAGGGAGTGGCGGGAGAGGAAGGAGCGAAGCTGAGAAGCAACAACTCGTTCCAGGACCTTGGAGAGGAAAGGGAAGGTTGGAGATGGAGGTTGGAGAGTATATCCCGTAAAGCGCTTTGAAATGTCAGTGCACGTGTGTAATAACACAGCATTACATCAACAATTCAGTTCTGCTTGCGCAAGGAGCGTCCCAGAGCATTTAACACTGGCGGAGGACTACTCCAAGCTGGGGGGTGGGGACCCTAAGCATGGTCAAAGGGGAAGGTCGTCAGGTGCAACCTGTAGGTGGGGAAGGAGCGGGCAAGACAGAGGGATTGAGGGAGCACAGTCTGTCATGATGTGCAGTAGAGGTCTGTAATAGGTGTAACAATGCCCTGTTCACCTCCAAAACACAGTCACTACACTTAGATCCTGTGCAGCCCTATGAGACGTCCTCATGACCTGTCAAAGGTGCTGCGTCAAGTAAAAGGATTATTACTACAGTCGCCTGTGTCATAATAACCCTTGCATTTGATACACACACCTAGTTTCATATCAAAACGACTCAAAGCACTTCACAGGATTCACAGTAACGACTGTGGATTTTGCAGACAGCAATGTGCCACATCTACAGTATAGGTGTGAAATAATATTCTGTGTCACAATACCGCACGGGGTTGTGATAACAGCTTTACAGGACAGTCTGTCACCCTACAATATAGGGTGTGAATACAGGTTACATTGTGGAGTCCTGTAGTATAGCACACTTGCCCTCGCAAGAGAGAGCACCTGGGTTTGATTCCCGGGTGGGACGAAACCTTAGGCATTTTTCCTTACTCCACATGCCTCTGTTTACCCAGCAGTAAGTAGGACCCTAGTCGTTAGTTGACTGGCAGATTGCTTTTTGGGGGATAATCCTCCCCCCAAAAAATGTGGTCCCTCAATCAGCTACTGTTTGAGGGACACCATTGTGCACAATTGACTACCGCGTTTTGCTCACAAAAGACACAGTCAATCCACTTTACAAGATATTCTGTGAAGCGTTTTGAGACGTCTCAACGACACGATAAGACGCTAGATCAAATGCAAGGATTATTATTATTATTATTACAGGACAGTCTGTCACACAGCAGTACAGGTGAAAACGTACGGCAGGATGTGGCGTTACAAGCACGATAGAGTTGTGAATGTCAGTTGTGTGACAAGAACAATACATTGAGTTTATATAGCGTGGAGTAGGGTCTCGAAGCGTTGGCAGTGTCACAGCACAGACAGGCTGGCGGGAGGATGCTGAGGACAGACAAGAGGAACAAGCAGCCGGGTGTGTTGACAATCCTTTATCACGTACAGCAGAAGGTATTCGCTCATTTTCTACAAGCAACCGGTACATTACACCAAACACGCTGCCGAGAGAAAGTATGCCCCTGGTTTCGGTAGCTTCCAGAAGCCGGGAGATTTCCCTGTCAGTTCCCGTCACTCACGAAACGCGGAAATGCCAGGTTTGCACGCGAGGAGCTTGCCCTCCGCACTTGTTACTTTTTATTTGACTAAATAGCACATACATAGCACAACGTGAACACAACAATTATTAACCTGTAGGCTACTGACAGTGACTGAGGGACACACAGCAAACAGGAACCAGGGCTGGATGGATAGTCATTCAAAACTGTCTGCCGATGGGAATCCTGGAAGAAACACCTTTAAGTCCTTGTTAAAGGAACCGTGCCACCTTTAACAAGCACGTAAAGGTGCAGGTGCAAGGCACTTTACCCGCCCGACGCACCAGATGATTTTAACTCATGACAGCATGGTCAATCCCCCCCACTCCCACCTCATCTGAATGAGACGCAAGCACAGACAGTCTCCAAGGAGGGGTGATGAACCCAGCTCCAAAATTCAGTCAAGTGTCACGATGTACTGGCACCTTTAAATCTTCCTTCCCTGCCCCTAACGCTTTCTCTCACCAGCCACCAAATAATCACAAGATGTTTGCCTGTGTTTGGTGACTCCCATTGCTGTCAGCCAGTCACTGCTCACACAGGGTGTGACTGATTGAGGCCAGGCCTGGGCAATTGCTCACAGCAGCGTCCCACAAACAGTCGTGATTGAGTGACCAATTTATTATTTATTCATTTTATTGTTATTTTTTTTGAAAGGATTATTACCCCTGGAAAAATCGATCCACCAATCAACTGACGACCGGGTTCCTACAGAGGTGTGTGGAGTAAGGAAACTTGCCCAACGTTTCGCCCTGCTCAGGAATCGAACCCAGGTCCTATCCGCTGGACGGTGGGGAGTCACTGCACAGTATAGGAGATTGGACGCTCACCTTAATTCCAACCAGACTGTTAAACATCTTTAAAATGAAATGCAGAACATGGGAAAGAAGTGAGGAGTGAAGAGAGGTGAGGAAACGTGGGAGAGGAGAAAGGTGAGCAGAGGAGAAGTGTGGAGAGGTGAGGAGAAAAGAGAAGAGAGGAGAGTGTTAAGGAAAGGTAGGATCACCTTTTGTTGTCACTAGGTGTCACTAGCTTGCTGTGTACCCAATGCAGGAGGCTTCCTGACGATAGAAAAACAGACCTTCATCACCAACAACCAATGAAACATAGCTTTGGGTCCAGTTATGGTGGCAGCTGGAATTCCTTTGAGTCTCTCCATCGCCGGACAGCAGAGCAGACGGGCTCCCTGGCTCCTCCTCATATGACAGGGGCTCCGCATGCCTCGGGATAAGATTAACATTTTATCCTTTACCTTTTCCCACTGCCTCCCTTCACCCTCCCCACCAAACCAGTACCCAAGCTCGGGGTGGGAGCCAAGGGTGGTGGGGAGGGAAAAGGTGACCAAAAGCGCGGTCAAAAAGGTAGGTCTTAAGATACACCTTGAACATAGTGAGGGAGGGAGCAAGGTTCAATGTTTGTACCCCATCTGTGAACTTGTCACCAGGCTGGATCTGGGGTCACCAGCCTGGGGATGTGGGTAGCCAATACTCGTGCTGCCGATCGGGATCAAATATTAACACGACTTCCCGGGACAGAGCACAGCATTAAGGATATCAGGCAAATAGGAACATGTACAACATACAACGATGAGAGAGAAAGAGAGAACCCGGTCAGCTGTGAGCTCCTGTCTGCTGTCCGTCACTGAGACCCGATTGGTAGGGTTAATACCTGTTGTGTGGGGGAGGGGGAGTTTCCAGTCGTCTTATAGTGTCACAGTTTGTTTTCACAGTTTAAATAACCAGCACTTTTACACACACACACATCCAGAAGCTGTAGATACAGTACTTACACCAGAAATCGCGCTTTTTCTGCAGCACATCAGTTTCGATCGCTGGGGCCGGTCCTAACTAAAGGCGTGTAATAACACTCGCAAATTAAACATCCTTCTTTAAACGATTTACAAAAACGTAAAACTCGTGATAAATTTCATAACTTAAGTGCACGGAGTGCTTCATTAAATAGTAAAAACTGTAGGAACAAGCCACCTTTTGCTAAATAAGAACAGTTACTGTCGTCAATGAGATCCGTTGGACTGGTGGAGTGCAGCCTGTTCTCTGTTGACATATGGCCACTTATCTGAGCACAGTTTCCAGTTTGCTCCAGGCTCTTTGAGGAAAGGCCTCACTACCGGTCAGTCACTTTTCCTCTTTCCCCGTGAAGATGTCCGACCCCTGGTCTGAGTTCCATAGCCGGCCGGGCCAAGCCGAGCCTAGCGAAAAGGAAGGAAAGGCAAGAAGCAAGAAAATTGTCCTCTGGCTCTCTCTGTAGAGATGGGGCTCCTGCACTCAAAATGGCTTCTCCTACACCATCAATCTTTGGAATTGAACCAGTCGGTCATTCACAAGATGACATGTCGCCGTGGGTTGATCAATGAAAGTCTCGGAGGACGCTAGGCCTGATCGCATCCTGCCCGGCCTTCCGAATTCCAAACTAGCATAAGGACAAATATACCTGCATACACATCTACTCCTACATAACCTTCTTAGAAAAGCCTAATGAACACAAGTTTGCTTGTTGACATTAAAGTGGGCGGGGGAAAAAAGGGGTTCATGATGTCACACTGGATCTCACACTGTCTCTATTTGTCGTGTCGAGCAGAAGTTCAGAAATGCCTTGAAGTAGTCAGACACAATGTTGGTTTGCCCCCCCCCTCCCCAACACCCCCCCACTTCCAAAGGGAGGAACCCTTCATGAGGTAAAGTAGGAGTTTTGCATGGAGTACAGCCGGTCGATGGGATTGCCTATTCTGGCCTGCATGGAGCTTGCCTCGGTGGTTGCTAGGAGACAGTCTCCCAAACTGTTGAGTGAGGTATCGCTGTCCATGTCGTGGAAAAGGGTTTCGTTTCCTGCAAATAAAATATAATATCAGTATCTTTGTCAGCCACCACACTGGATAAAGCACAGACCACAGGTTTAGAGATAGCTGGCATCACTGCAACAACAGCAATTTGCATTTATACAACGCCCTTCACACAGGATAGAGTCTAGGAACTCTGCACAGAGGCACACTGAGAAGTGGAGGGAAGGTCACCATAGGTATTTCGCCCACAAAGTACACAGTCACTTCACTTTACAGTATATACTGTGAAGCGCTTTGAGACGTCTCAGCGATGTGATAAAGTGCTATATCAAATGCAAGAATTATTATTACTACAGGGCATTGAGGTGGCGATACAGACCACTACAGGGAAGATGTCAAGGCGATAGATACGGTGCGGAGGAGATTCATTGGGATGGTACCAGGGACGAGAGGTTTTACTATACATATAGTATGTATATAATGGTAATCTTGCATTTGATATAGCGTCACTTTAGTGAGACATCTCAAAGCGCTTCACAGAATATATTGTAAAGTGAAGTGACTATATATTATGTGGGCGAAATGAGGCAGACAGTTTGCAGACAGGAATGTCCCATAAACAGCTGTGGGGTGAGCAGCCAATGTTATTTGGGGGATTGTTGGCTAGGACATCAGGAGAGAATATATAAATATATAAAAATGGACTGTTTGTGGGACATTGCTGTGCGCAATTGGCTGTCAAGTTTCGCCCACAAAATACACAGTCACTACATTTTACACTATATTCTGTGAAGCGCTTTGAGACGTGATAAGGCACTATATCAAATGCAAGGATTATAATTATATATTTTATATATATATATTATGAAAGGCACTATATAAATGTAATTTATTGTTGTTAATCTCAAGGAGAAAGGCATCACCGTAAGGGTGCATGTGGTCTCCTGGCATCTGCGGAGGGGTCAATCCCTGTCGGAAGGGGTCAGTGCTGTATCCGTTCTGATCAATGGCCAGGAGCTGCTGTGGAGGCAGTGTTGTGTAAGGGTTCATCATAGTCTCCATCCCAGCGTTACTGGAGTTGTTCACAGGGGCTGAGGGAGAGAAAGGGAACAGAGTAAAATAATAATAATAATAATCCTTGCATTGGTACAGCGCCTTTTATATCAGGAGGACGTCTCAATGCCTTTCACAGGTTTTACTGTGTAGTGGAGTGACTGTGTGTTTGTGGGTGGATTCAGCAGACCGTTTGCGCACAGCACATCTCAATCTCAACAGTTGTGATATCTCGGCACACCAATGTTCTCCAGGTCGCATGGACATGAGCTAGTTTATAATAATAATCCTTTGATGCATTTAATACAGCCCCTTTCACATAGGGTGGACGTCTCAAAAGCATTTCACAGGATTTACAGCTAAGTGGAATGACTGTGTATTTTGTAAGAAAACGTGACAGCCTAATTGAACACAGGAACATCCTGCAAACAGCCGTGAGTGACCAATTTGATTTGCGGGATTGTTGGCCAGGACACCGGGAGAGAGAAACTCACTTCTCTATTCGAATAGTGCCATGGGATTTTTAACATCCACCTGAACAGGCAGACGGGACCTCGGTTTAATGTCTCATTTGAAGCCCAGCACCTCTGACAGTGTATCACACCCCCAGCACTGCATCCGAGAGTCAGTTTAGGTAACGTGATTCCAACTTGGAGCTTAAACCCACAACCTTCTGAGTCCTGTACCTGTGTTGAGTCGTTGTGTGTTTTGCTGGTCCTGTTGCTGTTGCTGCTGCCTGCGAGCCAGCTTCTTCATCTGTGCAGAGAGAAGACAGTGGTCAGAGCACACCAACCCCAGCGCCAGACACACACGTGGTCACACACACATTCACAAACACACACACACACCCACCCACACCCACAGTCAAGGGGGCTATATCAATGCAAGTTGTTGTTGTCACAGAGACGCTCACACATACACACAGTGACACAAACACACACACAGGAACAGTACACAGTAACACCGATCAATATCTGAAACACAGACACCACCGATAAATATTTGATTAAACAGACTCCACTGATCATTATCTAATACAGACGCCATCAATCACTGTCTGCCACAAAGACACATGTGACACACAGGTTACCTTTGCTCTTTGATTCTGGAACCAGACTTGCACGACCCGGACACTCAATCCCGTCTCAGCAGCTAACGTCTCCCTGACCTGAAAACAAGAGAAACCTCAATCAGCGGTGAAGTCGCTCTGTCATCCTGAACCCAGCTGGACTGCATTTGGGTCTGTTGTGACGGTTCAGAGTAGATCCGGTCAGGGATCCCCTCGGTGGGATGATGGCCTGTCTCTGGAGCAATGAGTGAGAGAGCCTGTCACCTGCTCCCTCCCCTATTACACACAGCTGATGTTTCCGTTCGCACTGGCCTGGCACAGGTAGAGTTCAGTCCTTTCGCCAGTGAGAAAGACACAGTCTGTGAGTGAGCAAGCGAGCGAGGGAGGAGCAAACAGTAAGAGAGTTTGTGGAACTTCAGGATTTCCCAGGATAAAATGTTTGCACCACAACATCAGCTTATTTACACTGTGCCAGTGCCAGCTACTCTAACCCACTGCCTGCTCTTTCACCATAACCATAACCATAACTCTCACCCACCCTACCATCACAACTTCCTTCAACCCAACCCACTTAGCCGCTCCCTTTGCTCAGTGAGCACCCGCCTGCTTCATGTCCCTCACTCTATCCCCCCCATCATTATAATAATAATAATCCTTGCATTTGAGATAGTGCCTGATCACGTCATCAAGACATCTCAAAGGACTTGCCAGGATATACTGTAAAGTGTAGTGACTGACTATTTTTGGGGCGAAACGTTGGTAGTCAGGCTGTCAGCCATTCTGTCCCCGTTCCCTGGAACTCCATCCCAGGTTCCTCCGACTCCTTCCCTCCCTCCCGCGCCCCCGACCTTCAAGGGACATCTCAAAACATATCTCTGTGATCACACTTTTGGTCATCTTTTCCCTCCCCACCCCCCGGGCTCCTACCCCCCAGCTCGGATACCCATCCACTGTGAGCCATGCTGCGACGTCCTCCCGATGTAGAAGGCACGGTGTAAATCTAAATTGTGTTTATTGTACAACCTTTAATAGCATTTTTTTCTCAAATTTATTCATTCACTTACAGGTGATCTGCACTCTAACAAACATTTGTGATTACGGGTTTCTGACCTCCCCTCTGTCCCTCGTTTAGACCATATAACGTGGGGCTTGAACGCACAACCTTCTGATTCAGAGATGCGAGTGCTACCACTGCACCGGGCTGACACACATATATAGGCAGGGTAAGTGACAACATCAATGATGGATAGCACGTTTGAAAGTGCAGTACAGAACAGAAGGTGTGACATCGGTGCCTGGTGTTCACACAGAGCTGACACGTTGCACCCTGTGTTGTTTTGTCAAAAGATTCATCGACACAAGTTACTGAAGTGCCTGTGAGGAGGAGTTTCCCTGACATCTGCTGACCCCAGGAACCCCAAAGACCAACCAGTTCCTGCAGCCCACATCCAATGGTGTACAATAGAGATGCACGTGTGAAGTGAGAGAGACTTACTGCCTCACTGTCAATGCTAACGTTCAGGCATGGAGAATGACCATGGACAAGAGAGAGATAGTCACCCATTTAATTGTGAGCGCTGTTAATGAGCCAAAGCCAAACCTTCTCACAGTGTGGGAGGGGGAGCAACTTCAAATTCATGATAAGAAACTAACAAAGCTTGCATGATAGGTCCCCCCCAACACCCTTCAGTCTTGCTCTTACCTTTCTGCACGGTTTGGAAGAGACTTCGAAGGATGCCTTGAAGGCACGTCTCTGCTGTGTGGTGAGGATGGTCCGTGGTCTCTTGGGTCTCTTGGAGTCTTTGGAATCGTCGATTCCTTTGCAATGTCCCTGCCCTACTTTGCTGCTGCTGTCCTCCTCGTCGCTCTTCCCTACAGGAAACACACAAGCAAACATGGCTCATCAGTCACCCCAACACAGTCCAACACATGGGAACTATCTGCCTCATTCTCTCTGGAGAGTATCAATTTCCTTTCAGTCGCATGTTCCACACTCATTGCTCTCTCCGTCAGTGTGTCAGAAATGCTCAGTTACAGGTATTTTAACGTTCTGGCTGAGTTTTCCTTCACATTCAAACTCCTGGTTAAAAATTGTTGTAAAGAATATCCACACAGACTGTGCTACAGGCAATACCCGGTACCTGGCTTTAGAGGTGATCTCTAACTGTACCAACAACCTTAGTACATAACTAGTTTGCAACAAACTCATCTTGCAGAGGGCTTTACTGTTATATCACATGCGCAGTCTCAGAGCAACTGTGATACCACAAACACAGTGAGAGATCCACAACAACTGTTATGCCACACACACAGTCAGTGATACAGTTACTGTTAGATCACACGCAGAAATGCAGGGTCTGAGTTACTGTGAGTCAGTATGACACAACTTGGGTAAGGATCTTTTCTGTGTAGTAGTAAATCAGCAGTCTCACTCAAACACACCATAAGAATATAATAATAGTAATAATAATAATCCTTTGCATTTGATTTAGTGCCTTATCATGTCACTGATATGTCTCAAAGCATTCACAGAATATACTGGAAAGTGAATTGACTGTGTATTTTTGGGGTGAAAAGGCCAGTGTGGGATATAGAAACATTCACACTGATACATGTCTAAGACTGAAGTTAAGGCACATTTTGAAGACGTTGCAGAGGGAGTTCTACTCTAGGTTTGGCTAATTCAATGCCTGAGTTCTGAGTATAGACTGTTGACACTGGCTGACCAAAGTTTCCATTCCCAGCACTGATATCACTCAACTTGGTGAAGACAAATCAAGTGTGGTTCTTAAAGACACACTGATTCTCCCCGTGGGCTTTATCAACTATAATTCCTAATAATCACAAAATGAATCCTAATCCCTGACTCATTTCCTAGGAATGAGACTGAGGTTTGTCTCTCCCAGGCCGCCAGGAATTCCCTTGGATTTCCCCTTAATATGGCCTTTTGTTGACCTTGGCACATTACAAAATCATAAGACTGGTTCAATGAAGAAGACCCCTTCGGCCGATCAGATCTCATCCCTCCAGAACACGCATCCTACATAACAAGCTGTTTTTAAGTGTCATGGCCTCAACCCTCCCTTTCTCAAATTACCAGACACAACAGCTGGATGGGGAAGTTATCTGAAGTCTTCACTGGGGAAGAATCCATTTAACCTCCTGCATTACCTGGCTCTTTTGTAAAATGTCTCTCCAGCTCGCCACGAATGGTAAACCAGAACATGGGAGGTCAATTCTCCATGGTGGGTGTTTCAATAAGGAGCTGCCAGATGTTAGAATTTTGCCCGAGGACGTGCTTTGAGTCGTTCTTTCTTCTGGATCCCTCATGGAATGTACTCATTGAAGTCAATGGGATGTTAACATTGTGGACAGCATTTCATGAGAGTTATAGAGTTTGTTGGTGTGTGTTCACCATTCCTATCTGTGGGTGTTGGTATCTTCACAGCCCTCCTTGAGCTTCAAATAAGGAGCCAGGCAGTACTCTCAATAGAAAGCTATTCAGTTTTAGCTGGTTAGACTCCAGCAGTTACCCCAACGCACACCCTGTGGTTCCCAAGCCTTGGCTCTTGCCAACCTGCACCTAATACTGTCTGGAATTAGGTAAGCAGGATGTGTCCCTCCAGGGAGAGAGTGCGCATTCCATTCCAACAATTTATCTCTGGAATTTCCATATGTTGGTGGGATGCATGGAATTCTCAATTCGGTTTGGATACTCTTAAGCATGGTGATGGGTTTCCGCATGTGTCAGACACCTGGCTGACCAAAAAGAAAAAAATCCTCACACATTCCTCCTCGGGGGAAAGGCAGAGGTGGAGCTGTCACCACAACCACCAACCTACCTGCTGTGCAGTGAGATACACCGAGACCACTTTCTACAGCTGCACAGCACCATGCAGCAATGCATTTAAAATAACACTGGGAGGATGTCTCAAAGCAATTGGCTCTGCTGGCTGGGCACCCAAGATGCGGGTGGGAGCCGAAGTAGGTGAGGAACATATGAACATGAAAATTGCTGGATGAAAGAAGACCAAGATCCATCCAGTTTGCCTTCCACCATCCTGGCAGTCACACGCACATGTCATATCCCAAACTATATACTGTATCCCAACATTACATTTAGATTTCCTAAAAGAAATCTATCTAATTTGCTTTTGAAAGACTCAAAACTTTAAGGAAAGATGACCAAAAGCACGGTGAAAAGGGAATGAGGGGAGGAAGGGGATGAGACGGAGGGACTCTGAACGGAGGGCAGAACGGCTGAAAGCCTGTCTTGCCGATAGAGGAGCGGAGGCGGCAGGGGGCACGGAGCAGGCTAAGGCAGCCCAGTGTTTGCTGAGCAAAGGGAGCAAAGTGAGGACCACTGGGAGGGAGGCACAATGTCAAGAAGCTTTTGGCCTCAAACCAAATGCCACAGAGAGCCTTTTAATCCCTACGCTCCCAGGCTGTCAGAAATACCACCCACAACAAACACAGCTCAAGATGACAGAGGCTGCGGGCCATGTAATTGGGTTTAATAATCTTCTCTATAATTACACAATTTATCAATAAAGGAGCCCCACTAACTTTCCCAGACTGACAACCATAGAGAAACCAGCACAAATATACAGGCTGTTGACTACAGTCTGCTAGTTTTAAAATGTACTTTTCTTTTTACACCCTGCGCTCAATCGATTCTCTTCATAAAAGTACAATAAGTTTACATTGAATGTGATAAACTGGATTCCCTTTGGTGTTGGCCATTTTTGTGGGATATTGAATGCGAAAGACTAGCTCTCTATCTGAATATGTCATCTCCCATAAGGAAATGCTTATGATAATTCCAATCAGGCTGCCTTGGCTTTCCAACGTGTTAGTAAGGTGGGTGTGTTCAGCAGAAAGTGCAACCAATAATAATATAATAATAATAACAACAATAATAATGATAATGATAATAATCCTTGCACTTGGTAAAGCGCTTTCACATTGGGAAGACGTCTCAAAGTACTTCACAGAATATACTGCGAAGTGAACTGACTTATTTTGTGGGTGAAATGTGGCAGCCAATGTCCCACAAACAGTCGTGGATTGCTTGACCACATTTTTTTTTGGAGGGATTATCACCCCCGGAAAGCGATCCGCCAATCATCTAACAACCGGATTCCTACTTACTGCTAGGTAAACAGAGGCGTGTGGAGTAGGGAAACTTGCCAAAGATTTCACGCCGCCCGGGAATCGAACCCGGATCCTCTCATTTGTGAGGTGAGAGCACTAACCACTACACTATGGGACTCCATGCATGAAACCACAATGTATTTCATTCCTCATGGGCTCAGGACTCAGACAGCCTGTGCTGTCAATCGCCTTACTTTCTGATGAAAGCAATCTGCCTTTTTCTTTAATATATAAAAAAAGTGCTGTCAACAAAACTGAGTGGAAAAATAAACTTTGCATGTATGGTAGTCTTGGCTGAGAGGCCAGACAGAAAGGCAGGTCACGTGAAGTCATGGGCTAAGGCTTTAGCTCCAGGCGACGTGTTGAAGACGAACATGTTTTCACAGTTGGGGCTGTGGTTTTAACAGCTGCAGGTACTGCTTCACTCTTTCCCAGCTTAACATCAAATACGTCTCCCCAGAAGGGAAATCTGAGACTATCGATCCCTGTTGATGTAACAAAGTCCATACCCTCACATTGGCGTGATAAAGTCCTTACAGAATGTGGTGTTACAATGGAGGGAGGATGCTAACCTTTAACTCATGGGACCGGGGCATCGCATTCTGGATGGGCTGAAGGTCTCTGTTGTCTGGGAGGGTCCGAAGGAGAAAAGAGTGAGGGTGATCACAGCTGAGCTCCGTATGACACATAGCTCTGTAGTGTAATATAATAATAATCCTTGCATTTCATATAGTGCCTTAGTACGTTGTTGAGACATCTCAAAGGGCTTCACAAAATATATCGTAAAGTGAATTGACTGTGTGTTTTCAGGGGTGAAACGTGGCAGCACAATTGTGTTCAGTAGTGCAGAGTCCCAGAGACAGCCATGGATTGAATGACCAATTTTATTTGGGGGATTGTTGGCCAAGACACCGGGAGAGATAGTGTCATGTAGCACAAGTTAGAAGCTTATGTCACACAAAGAGGAGGCGTGTGGGAAATAGGACCCTATCAGTGTTACATTCCTCAATTTCGCCAACCTCAAGCACACTGTTTACCACACACTGACAATGAAGGCTTGAGATCAATCCTAAGAGGTTCACAAGTGAAAGTCACTGCTCCAATCTTTCACCAGATGCTGTCTCTCCCCAGTGTTAGAGGAACGAACTATGAGGAACTAGCTAGCGCTTTTCAGATTTGTGAGAAGATGACTCAGAGGGGAGTGTTGGGCAGTGATTCAATTGTGCACAGCAATGTCCCACAAATATGAGTGGATTGAGTGACCAATTTTTTTTTGGAAAGAATGATTACTCCCAGAAAGCTATCCGCCAATCGACTAACAACTGGGTTCCCACTTACTGCTAGGTAAACAGAAGCATGTGGAGTAAGGAAACTAGCCTAGGATTTCGCCCCACCCGGGAATCGAACCCGAGCCCTCTCACTTGCGAGGCGAGCGCTCTAACCACTACGCCATGGGACTCCACAATGTATCCAGTTGGGTAAACTTCCTGTTCAATGATGATTTCCCCCAGTGCAATCTCACCATTGTGCATAGGTCATAGTTCAACCCACACGTTCCACTCCAAATACATTGGATTAGAAGAGCCTAAAGAGGTATAGCACACCGGTGTCACTCAGAGGGATAATTGGCTGTGAAGAACTTTGCTCCTTGCTCCTCTGCACCTCTCAGGTAACACTTAGTGTTCTGTGTCTAACCTCAGGCAGCTATGTTTTCATTG